CCTCCCTCCTTCTTCTCACTCCTCTCCTCCTCTCCTCCCCTTCCTTCGACCACCCCCCACCTCCTCCCCTCGCTCCCCTCCTCACTTCCGCTTCCCCTCCTCCTCTCCTCTCCTCCTCCTCTCCTCTCCTCCTTCTCTCCTCTCCTCTCCTCTCCTCTCCCATTTGCCACCCCTCACCGAGTACAACGTCCCAAGTTTCTTCTGGGCAGCAACGAGTTTCTTGGAGACGTCTTGGATCTTCTTGACCCTCGCAGGCGTCTTTGGAAGCTCCTCCATCCTCTCCCTCTCTCTGATGTACTTGTTCAGCTCGGTCCTCGCGGCCTGAGACACTTCAACTCTACATGATGTTCACCCATCCTGCCTCCTGTCACCTGTCTCTGTTCATCCAGCTTCACCATCCCAGATTGAATCTTTGCGTTCTTGGATGTCTCGTATTCCCTTCTCAGATGTATCACTTCCTTGCTCTCACAAGAACCACTTGTCTCACTTGTACAAGCCGTCAACAACCGGCGTCAACCGTGCTATGGTTTCTTCCAGTCCAGTTGTCTAGACGACACATCTCAACACAGAGACTGACTTGATCGTTGTTGTACCCTTGACATCAACTCCTGGGACTGCACCATACCGTCCTTCGCTGCCTGCTGCTGTCGCTGGATGTACATTTTCTTGAGAGCAGAACAAAGTCAGCGAGCAGATGCGAGCTCTCTTCACAAGATGTGACAAGACGTGGCAGGAGCGAAGGAGATCAGAGGAGATCAGAGCAGCATGTCAACAACAACGTTGGAGTTCGGATCACAAACATCTCCAGCATCTCAAACCTGGCGGGCGATCTCTTCCTCGTCATCTTTCTCCGCGCGGATCGTCTGACCTCCTCAGTCAGCGGCACGAGACAACAACTACTACAGTTCACTTCTTGCAGCTGGACCGAGGCCTGTAGAACAAGATGAAGTCGTCAGAGATCGATCGTATCCCATGAGAAGACTTCACGGTCTGTTCACCTGCCTTGCCAGCTTGGAGAAGCGATCGCTCTGCTGGAGGGCGACTCCCTGAGATCGAGAACTTTGAGAATCTGCAGGCATGTGGAGAAACGATGTGGCACCTGCTTCTTCTCTGCGCTGAGAATCTTCTGGCGCATACCTAGAATGAAATCCATCACCGCCGTCCCCACAATGATTATCATCGTCTCCATCACTTCCAACATCATCTTCTCCATCGTCGTCGTCATCATCTTCATCGTCATCTCACCATCACCATCACCATCACCATCACGACCATCCGATATCTAGATTATCACCACTTGACATCGGAACTTCAAACTTACCCGGCATGTTGTCCTTTTCTCGCCGTCCGAGAACTTTCAGCTGAGAAGGACTCACATGTCAGAGCAAGGGGAAGGCGCGCAACCATGCACATGAACTATCGAGACACCTGGGCAAGACGTTTGTCAATCTCTTGTCTACTGTTGACAATCCCGTTGAGCTCCTCCTGCACAAGTTGTCAACGATTGCAAGAACAACGGCAGCCGCTCAACAACCTTGTCTTGATCCATCCTTTTCTTCCATGACAGATATTGCTGATTCTCTGCATCATATGCTGCCTGTGTGACAGGTGGCAATCAGCACAAGTTGACACTACTTCCGAGACAGGAATTGTGAATCATTTCCCTCATGAAAATCATCAATCATCTTGTACACGAGTGCATCCTTCAAAGCACCACGAGGTCCATCACATCGCCAAACATCAAAACAGTAGAGAAAGGAAGCTGCATGACCTGACGCTGATTCACAGCCTGTTGCAACGGAACAAGGTTGTTCTCGGCAACCTGTAAGACATGTGAAGTCAAGGGCAAGTCAAACATCCCTCTCAAGCAGTACCGTCACTCGCTCTCGCTGGAACGCAACGTTGGTCTGCTGCTGCTCCGCTCGTTGGATGTAGTTGCGCACCTGGACCAACGCTCAACCTCCGCCACGTCATCACCTTCAAGTCAACACCTCAGGTGAGTCGGTCGGCCTGACAGTCAGCAGCTCCTGCACTTCCTTCTTCTCCTCCTCCCTTCTCTGTATCGACAAGTTTCACAAGCCCTCCTCCTCCCTCCTCCCTCCTTCATCGCCTCCATCCTCAGTTTCCTTCCTCCTCTCCTATCCCTCCTCTCTCATCCCACTTCCCTCCTCCCTCTTCTTCATCTTTCCTGCATCTTCTCCAATCTCTTCTTTGCAGCCTCCGCTTGCGCCTGATTTCACAACATCGTCACGCTGTGCTGGTTCAGCCTCGGCTTCACCTCCTTTCTCTTGTTCATGATGGCCTCTTGCTGCTCTGTCAGGCCTCCCTGCTTCGCCTCCGCGGCACTTGAGCTAGCGGCAGCCTTTCCGTTGGGCTGACAACGAACCGGCCAGCAGGTCAGCAGGTTGACGGCTGGTAAATCGCAGCTCTCACCGTTGCCGTTGTCGACGGTGCTGAAGGAGCTGCTGGAGGCAAACGGTGAGCAGAGAATCAGGACGAGGACGAGGACGAGGACGAGGACGAGGACGAGGACGAGGACGAGGACAAAGAGGACGAGGATGAGTGTGAGGAAGAGGAGGAGATGAGGAGGAAGGAGAGGAGGAGGTCAATGTACACCTGCTCTCTTGACAGTGAACTTGTTGAGTGCGGACTTGGCGTGATGCATCGCGAGGGGAGGGCTCTTCTGCTTCAAGGAAGGAATCATCGCAAGAACCAACTCCCTCTCCTGACCTTGGCAGGTTGTGAGAGCCCGAAGATGAGGAAGAGGCACAAGGCGAGGACAGCAGCAAGAGCAACTAGGAGCACACTCCAGTGGACCTATAGGAATGTGTCAGCGTGAGCTCATGGAAGGACGACTGAAGTACGGGTAGTCTCTGAAAGAAAGAGAAGAGACCGGAGAAACGACCGTGCGATTGTTTGCCGTACTCTTGTCGGATCTTGAGACAAGGAAACGTCAGTTAGCACGATAAAGAACACCTCCTCTGCAAGGATCGCGTCATGACTACCTTGGACCACTCGTCGTCGCCGTTGTCATCCCTAACGGAACTAGTGCAAAAACCGTCAATGAACCTCCACCATGGCCCGCCTGCCAACCTCTGAGTCTCGTTAGCCATGGCGTCGTCGCTGCAACACATGCACGTCAGACAGCTCATGGCACAGCACTCAACTCCGTCACCTCGTCCTCCCGTCCTTCTTGAAGGTGCCGTACGCGTTCCCGCTAGCGTCTGGCGCTGCCATGAACCGTCAGGCGCGATCCGCGAGCTGTCTGAGCAGCCTCAGACGGGCATGTGACACCTGGCAGGGTGCTCATCTCCTCGCTGATTCCCTGAGGGTCTGCCATGTCGTCGACTTGCAGGAACGAGTCTACTCGTCGGATGGCATCGACTGGACAGAGGAAACAATTTCAGAGGGGAGGAGCAGCATGAGAAGACATTAGGAGTGAGGGCAGTGCTGATGACTGAGATGATCAGACTACACCGTTGCCTTTGTGCTCCTGGCCTTCCGACACTATTGGTATCCTACGAATCATTGTTCAGGGTTGTCTTCGTGACTTGTTCCTTTTACTAAGACGCATCTCATCTCATGCCAACTTTCTCTGTCTGTCTTCCTCGCCCTACTCGTCCTCTACTCCTCCTTCTCCTCTCTCTTCTTGTCCCTGCTCTTCCCCTCCTCCTCCTTCACTTCTCCTCTTCCTCCTTCGCTCTGCCTCTTCCCCTGCATGTGGGACGTGGCGCCATTAGCATTCACACCACCCCCCATCGGGGTTTTACTACCCTACCCTCACCCCATCTTGAAACTTTTACCCTATAACACATATGACTCACCCCCTCCATGTTTGCAATGTTTCAAAAGTACCGGTACTATATACTACGAATCCCTGGGATGGTAACGGGGTAATTTTCATCTGAGCTGTTATTTGTGTACCCTACCCTGCCAATCCGGCACAGTTTCGGTCACCCACCCTTCTGAAGGATAGCCTACCCCTTGTTCAGCACAATTTTGGCAGGTATCGGGGAGAAGGAATGGGACGGGTGGGGTATTTTGTGCCATTTCACGTACGGGGTATATTTAATGAAAATATCAGGTCATAAGGGGGGTAGGTGAAGGATTGACAGGGTGGTAAATGCGGCGGGTGGTTCAGGATCTTGCAAGATGGTTGTGGAGCGATGCGGGGGAGAGCGGAGAGGGAACAGGAGGAGGAGAAGAAGAGAGAGCAGGGGATGAGAGCACGACGAAGACAGGGATGAGGACGAGCACGTAGGTGCAGCACCCTTCAGCTCCAGCCACAACGACAAGCACACCAAGTCCGACTTGTCTCACGTTTCTGGCGCAACGATTCTGCACTTGTGACATTTTGACGTTTCAGAGGAAGAAGCTTGAGATCGGAATGCATAAATGATCCTCTTGCGAACATCCTTTCTCCTCCTCCTCTGCTTGCTGGGAGCGATCAGGTGAGATTCGATGCGGTTCAGGGGACTCAGAGCATGTGCTGAGCGAAATCTGCAGCTTAGAGTCTGACCAGGAGGGAGGAGGGGCGACGTCGACTTCATGGAGCACGGACGAGTGGGATGGGAGCATGATGGATGAAAGGACGTGGAGGTCGTCTGTTGATTACCTTGTCCGGCAGGGCAAAGTAACAGATGCAATTCGGCTCGTGAAGGCGCTGCTGAAGATATCTCCCGCTGCTCGGCCGCTCCAGGTGCAGCTTGCAGTACTGCAAGTTGAGGAGGATGCAGGAGGGGTGATCTCGGCCCTGAGGAATCTGAGGAGGCTGGACCCTTCTGGCTCGCAACTCCTGCTCGAAGCCGGTGAGCTGGTTTACCAAGGGGCAACGGGTGCGATACAGGAGCTCTTAGACGAGGAGGATCGGGTCAGCCCGGAACGTGTCCTGAGGGCTCGGAGGAGGATGAAAGCAGCGGAAGTGCTGTACCGTGCTGCTGTGTGGCAGTCGCCCGGGCATGCTCGTTGCTCCCTTGTGCTGTCGAGGCTGTTGCTGTGGAGGGGGAGGAGGGAGGAAAGCATCGTGGTGTTGGCCCGGGCCCTCAGGTTCCTCCCGCAGGACAAGCAGATGCTCCTTGACTTCGGGTCTGTGAATCATCCTCTTCTCTCTTCCTCTCTCCTGCTCCCGTCCCCTGCATCTTTCCATAACTCTCCCTCTACCTCTACCTCTACCTCTACCTCTACCTCTCCCTCTACCTCTCCCTCTCCCTCTCCCTCTCCCTCTCCCTCTCCCTCTACCTCTACCTCTACCTCTACCTCTACCTCTCCCTCTCCCTCTCCCTCCCTCCCTTGATTCATTCCTCGCTCCTCGACCTCCACTGCCCCTCTCCTCTTCTTTTCCTCTCTTTCTCCCTCGCTCCCCGTCTTTCACCTGACATGTGTGCAAGGATTGCTCTAGATCGAGTTGGAATGAGGGATGAATCATTGAATGTCATGACTATGGTGTGCAAACTTCACCCCAATTGCTGTCAAGATCGCAAGCAAGACAAGAGGGTCAGGAGTCTCCAAGACTTGAACTTGTCCTGCGGCATTCAGCAAGTCGTTGAACCATCACTGGGAGAGATCATGGAGTTTGTTGAGGAGAGATTCTACAACAAGAGCGATTTGAAGAGTCTGAGAGGAGTGCTGGAGATGGGAGGAGACAGGAAGGAGAATGACTGTAAGCTGAGCGTCCTCCAAGAGAAGATCGGCATCGACGACATGACAAGGGCGGCATCGGACGGGGCCCCGTGCTCCCCTCAGCTGCTTGCAGCTGACAAGTCGATCAGGAGGCTGGTGAGATGTGGCAGTTGGGAGGTAGAATTCCTTGTGTGATCGAAACTGATCAGGTGCAGCGATGTGGAGGAGAGGAATGGGCGAGGAGAAAGCTTCGAGGTGAAGTGCTGGGGAGAGGAGGAGGAGGGCTGACGGGTCCTCTCGCAGAGCAGGAAACCCGGGTCAAGCTGCTGCTGCTCGCGTGCAAGGGCAGGGAGGGGGCGGCGGAGGCGAAGGAGGCGGAGCAACTGCGAGATCGGGCGCTGGTGCTGCAGACGCAAGGGAAGCTGGAGGAGGCGATGAAGATCTTTCAAGTTCGCCCTCCTCCTGCTGCTGCTGGGATTCCGTCTGATGAAGTGTGCTGATCGACAGGAGGCAGTGCGCTTGTATCCTGCCGATGCTGAAAGCCACAACGCGTTTGCTGTGATGTTTTCTGAGGTTGAGGGGGGAGGGAACTGAGGAGAGAGTCAAGGTCGCGTGCTGGAAAGGAGGATATCTTGACCTCGCTGCTCGGCATAGTGAGATCGCAACGAGGCTCAAGTAAGAGGAGGAGGGAGAGGAGAAGGGGAGGGAGCAGGAGGAGTAGGGGGAGAAGGGGAAGCAGGGAAGGAGGTGGGGAGGGTGGCGGGGCAAGGGGGGGAGGAGGGAGGCTCCTGTTGGAGAGTTGGGACTGAGCAAGGTTCTGTTTGAATCTCAACAGGCCTGACTCTCGCTTCTATGTCAACCTTGGCGCTGCGCTGTATGAGATGAGAAAGTTTGCGGTGGGGACATTTAGAAAGATTTCCTTGTCTCGTTTCTCCATCATGATTGACGATTGTTGCAGGAGAGCATTGAAGCATTTCAATCTGCGCTGAGACTGAAGGAAGACGATGATATTTCAAGGCAACTAGATGGAACTTGTGTTTTTCGTTGTTCTTTCTGTCTTTCATCTTCTCCTGTCACATTGATTTTGAGCACTGAAGTTTTCGTCGTCAGGTTCAACCTCGCCAACGCTCTCACTGAAGTCCACATGTTCAAGGAGTCGATAAGGCATTTCAGGAGGGTGATCGAGATCAATCCAACTTTCTTGCAAGCTCAGTGAGTCTTGTCGGTCATCGTTGACATCTCGTGATGACGAGCTCCAAGGTTCAACATGATTCGCAACATGGAAACGATCTGTGACTGGGGAAGGCGCGACGAAAGATTCTTGAGAGCGGAGAGGATTCTCCGCAAACAGCTGCTACAGGGTGAAGTCTCAATGGTGAGGGAGATTGAGATCGAGATGTTCTTGCTGAGAACAAGGTCAGGTCAGGCCCTGGCATTCTCTTTCCTACCCCTTCCCGCCTGAACTTCTTCTCGCTATCTCCCGGTGAGGTTTGAAGTTGATTTCTTCACGTCTGGTCCTTTCTTGACTCTGTCAGATGATTGTGGATGTCCCGTGTGTTCTCAGCCTGTTTGAGTTGATTCCTATTGTTTGTTTTCCTGCTCCTCCTAATTCCTCTGTCTCCTCCTCCTCCTCCTCCTCCTCCTCCTCCG